AGTGTTTTCTGTGTTTGTTTAATGACTCAGTGTTTTCTGTGTTTGTTTAATGACTCAGTGTTTTCTGTGTTTGTTTAATGACTCACAGTGTTTTCTGTTTGTTTAATGACTCACACAGTGTTTTCTGTGTAATACTGTACGTGTTAAAATCTATGTTTATTTGCATGACGTACGTAGTAGAGCTCTCTTTTTGTCATTGTTTATATTGTAGCAGTGTAGTAGCTAGGTTAGCAGCAACAATACAATCACCTGTCAGCTAACTGGAATGCAGTTTCATGTGGTTTGTTGGGAAATGAYGTCACTACCAGTTCCCAGTTCCCAGAATACAATGTAAACGGAGCGCAGCAACAGTCACAGGTGTCCCCCCGCCCACACAGAGCCCAGAATGCTGCTACCCCCCCTCACATGAGAGGCTGGACCCCTGCTGCTGTAACTTTCCAACAAGCCTCCAGAGCTTAAGGTAGCACACTAAGTTGCAAAAGACCCTGGACGTTTGTTCCCCCATGTTTGTCATGTTGTGTGTTTCTCCAGACAGATGTTCAAACTGTAAATTTTGTTCTGCATTGCATCTTGATGTTGTGTGTGAATGACAATAAACGATTCTGAAAAATAGTTTTCTTTTGTTGCATCATTTCTCTCATTATCTTTCCTGTTCCTGTTTTTATACTTATACTCCTCTGGTGCAGCAATTATTGGTCACAAACATGTGTCTGTTTTTTTACATGTTTGACACCAGCAGAAACAATTAAATGAAAATTACAAAAAAAGAGAAAATAAATAAAAGGATGTTTATCAGCTGACTGTAGAACTGCTGGCTGTATTTTATCAGAGAAACATTCATCTTCATTCAAACTAAGTCTGTTTTGAAACAAGCTACATGAGTTAGCATGAGTTAGCATGAGTTAGCACGTAAAACTCAACGTAACTTCACAACAAGCAGAACAGCAGAGAAGAACTCATTTAAGAACAATTCTTTGTAAATAAACCTAGCCTTAAACAACCTCCTTATTTCTATTGTGCAAATTAAATAAAATAAGTATAAATAAATATTTTTATTTTGTAATTAAATACTTTTATACCAATAAAATAATCATTATTAACCCATAATAAATAATAATTAGGCAGTAATAGTAACTGAACGGAGCTACAGTGAGGCCTGTAGGTCAGCAGATATTTTGCTGACAGATAAAGGAGATGACATCATGATGGTCCATCTCTCCTGGTGTTTGGTAAAGACTCAAGTCCAGAAGAGGTTCTTACTTCCAGCGGTCATGACCTCGTGCTCTCGGTCCTCCTCCTCGTTGTCTTGCTCCTGGTGACCGTCTTCTCTCTCGCGGTCAGCTCTCTCCTCCAGCTCTGCCTCCTCATCGATGGTGCGAGTGAACGAGTGCTCCTGGGGGTCCATGTCCAGAGAGTCCTGATTGTCTGAGATCTGAGTCCAGAGTTGGACAGTTTGATTATTGCAAAATAAAAACAGTTAAAGTGAAACAACAGAGCGGTCCAGAGACAACACTGCTGCTAACTCACCCTCCTCTCCCGGGAAGAGGACCTGGTCTGRATGAAGTCCATGTTCTTACAGGCCAGCAGGCGGTTCCTGACTTTGTACACGCTGCGGTAGACCTCAGACAGGGACTTGGACGGCTGGTACCTGAAGGGACAGAACCATGTGAGGTGTTTCCTTCAGGGTGGACCTATCAGGATGTGAGTCTAGATGAGTTTACCTTCCTTCCCCGCAGGCCGGGCCCAGCAGCCCCGTGTGCTTCAGCAGAGCTGCAAACACAAACCTGGACACGGTGTCCAACAGGGACTCGTTGTTCAGAGACGCGTTGTCCCAGTCTGCAACGGGACAGGAAGCTCAGTTCTGTTCTGGTCCGGCTCAGAATCCATTATTAATCAAACCCACCTTTACTGACGGCGTAGTCCTGCATGTTGATCCACAGACTGTTAGCAGGTTCTTTAGAGGAACCCAGAGCCAGGTCCACCAGGACACTCAGGTCAGGACGCAGAGGACAGTCCAAAGGCTTCTGCTCCTCRTTCCCCGACAGAGCTGCCTCCAGCAAYGAGCTGATGCAGGTGTCTGAAGGACAACAGGTGAGCAGCCACAGCTTCAGCAAGAAGTGTCTTAATGTTTGGACATTTGGAATAAAGAACATCTTACCTGCTGCAGACAGATCTTTGAACTGATGAGCTAACAGCTAGTCTGAACTCTCATTTAATAAACCTTTATATGACAGCTTCTCATTAACAGTGTGTGGTTGTTTGTCTGCACAGCAGCAGCTAGCTGTAGCAGTTCTCACAGACTAACTGTGGAATGTAAACAGAAAGATTTTAACTTTTGTACAAATGGATATAAAATATAAAAGACTGGAGTTGAACTTGTCAAAGTTCATTTTATAAGTGGGTCCACTGCTCAGACTAGCCATCAGCTCATCACTTCTGTCACAATTAAACTATAAACTAAAGATAAGAGTCAAACATAAGATATTAAAGGCTCCTAACTTTTCCCTCTTTAGTACTTTGTTTCATTTAAAAGAATCTCATTAAAAACACAGAATCATTTATTTCTGAGCTCAAACATACAGATTTTCAAATTAAAACTGATTCAATAACTTGTTTTAAATCATCCAGTTTACTTTTTAGCCAAGTTTGTAGCCAGAAAAGAGTTCCAGCTATAAATAACTAAATTTACAAACAAAAAAAATGTTATAAACGTTGGAAAGGTTAAATATTTGTTTTAAAATGATGATTTTATTCAACATCCAATAACTGACGTTCTCTCTAAATGTTGTATTATATCAGATTTAATTTTCTAGGTTAGAGAATGATTTAAACCGGGTGTTTGTGCTCCTGGCAGGGATCAGACTACACACCCAGCTGAGGGATGTCCGTCTCCAGGCCGTTACTGAAGAGCGGTGTTTTCAGCCAGTAAGCTGTATCCTGCTCCTCCAGGGAGGTGGGCGCACCCTGCAGCATCCCGCCCAGGCAGCGGCCCACCAGCAGGGCCACGGTCCTCTCCAGGTCCACCAGCCACACCCAGGACAGCGCCGCCGCCGGCAGCAACATCCCCAGGGCCGGCTCAGCGAAGTCCGAAGTGCCTGGACAGGAAACACATTTCATCAGCCAGGAGGAGTGACCAAACTACAGCAGAGTGACCAAACTAACTCCTGCAGAGTGACCAAACTAACTCCTGCAGAGTGACCAAACTACAGCAGAGTGACCAAACTAACTCCTGCAGAGTGACCAAACTGACTTCTGTAGAGTGACCAAACTAACT